CCGCAATGCATATGGAAATGCGTCCAAGGAGTGAGACAGATAAAAAAATGCGCAGACACATATTGGTTTTGTCCAAAATGTCAAGTCATTCCCGTTGTCAACTGTTTATCTTTGCTACTGAAAAATTACGATAGGTTGAATGAGATAACCGCGCATTTAGTGAATACTAAGATCACTCCCTCAGAGGTCAATATTGTCGCGGTAATACCTCGACTAGCCAACCTAAGCCCCGAATCTAAGCCGAAGAAGAAAGAAACACCAACCGCACTGCAGTGTCCGTGTCTCTAAATTCTCAGAATCATCTCACTCCAATAAGCGGACAAGATACAAACATGCGTATTTTCAATTCTTCCAGCTATGCAGCACACATCAATTCAGTGGTAATGCTGGCAGCTTCGAGCCCAAATTCATTCACCACAGAGAAACGCCCCGCATTGTACGTATCAGTTGACTCCACGCGAGCGCCGGTGAGAAGATTCTGGGCTCCGGTAGTAGCACTGAGCAAATTAGAGGGAATCAACCACAACTAACCAAACAGTGTAAAACGGTGTCCATTAATACCCTAGAATCTGCAGCTAATAGAAGAAATCACGGTGCTTTGACTGTTAGTGCACGAATGTTCCTGAAGCGCGGCCTAGTACCATAGAAGGGAAGCTGTTGGATGACCTTAATCAGTGGAACTCCATTCGTGGTGCAATGGGCACTCCAGTTGAGCCCACGACACTGGTTCCAGGTCACCCAAATTCAGTGCATTGCGGCGAACGTCGACTTCTCTGGGTGACAATGAGCGCCAATGATAGCACAGACGCCGTTCTACTGTCCTGCATTCGGCTCCATACCTCATCACATAAGGTGCGTATTCTTCCGGATATCCTTTTGAATGAACGGCCTAAAGAGAATAGCAACCAGGAAGAAGTTCGTAACTCTGACAGGATTACTGAGCTTCAAACATCCTCCTATGAGTAAGCAAAGACACAAGACAGAGAGCAATGGAGTTCCATACATCAGGAACTCTCCCTCGACAGAATCATTGCAAAGAAGTTGATAAGAATGCCAGTTTCACCCAAATACAAGGGGAACAGTCCCAGGCTGATGAAGGTGATACTTCAGTCTGAGCTAATGACACTGCTTATTTTAGATAATTGGTTTAAATTCCGCAAGAAGCTACCTGCAGAAATTCTGTTAAAGGTAGCGTAGTACACGGCCACGGATAGCCAACGAACCAATGGGATTGACCAAACTGGTTATTCTGCCCCCCACACAACTCTGTGAAGGAATGGATTTAATGGCAACCCTAGCATCCGAAGGAATAAGACAAAAAGACGGGAGACCATCATGGGCAGGACAACCGAGAGTAGTCACATAACCCGATCGAAGCTCAAAGCTCCGCAAAAAAAGGCCAGTGGTGGACCCCACAACGGTTGGCAAAATCTCTAATCCTAATTCAACGATTTAATTTTGCTTACTGAGAAACTAACCTGCATGTACACTAACGCACAAGGCCTTATTAGTAAGTTGGTCGAACTCCGTCACCGTCAGGCATCCGAGTCACGAGATATCCTTATGATCACCGAAACGTGGCTGAACTGCCAAATTGCCGACGCTGGAATCGTTTTACCCGGTGTGTCACTACTCCGGAATAACAAAATGGGTAGGGGTGATCATTTATTACATAACGAACCTTCGTTGTAAGCTCACAGATGATCCTCAAACGTGTCATTTATCTCATTTCGTGCAAACTGGTTGAAGGACGACATGCCTCGTCTCCGTGGTTTACTGTCCACCCAAATCCACTTAGGAGATGGACCACAGACTAATATCGGCATTTCGAATTGTGAAAAATCAGAAATACACCCATATCATCATTACAGGTAATGTCAAGATTTATGAGTTGGAAACTCCAGTAACCGAGGCGGAACAGTTCAAGGCCTATTTACAAGAGCTAATCTATAGCACACATATACAATCACATCGCTGATCCCACCATGTTCAGAGCAGCGAATAAGCCATCAATGTTCGATTCCGTGCTCACCAGCGAGGAGCTCATGGTGGAGCGGTTAAACGTATGCAGCCCTCTGAGTCGAAGCGATCACGTGACTCGACTGTTCGATTACATTTGCTACGCCGATTACCCCGACGCAAAGCACGAAAAGGTGTAATCCACCACGCATCATCAGGTTTTGTCTGCATTCGCTGAAAATGCTAGTTAGAGATTCAAGACTGAGTGCTCCCAGGGATAACATGGGAAAAATTCTTGACAACCTTCACATAACTATTCATCAGATCCAAAATATTTCCAGGATTCCATCGAACCTAAATCCTTCCTGAGAAGCAGAACACGAAGATTTATGGAATTGAGGGACCGGACATGGCGCCTTTACATAATCCCCGCGAAGAAAGTTGGACAGCGTAGGTAGCTCACCGCAATTATTTGGCAGAGTTGGTTCGTACAGACAAGTTATCACACCAGCAGGAGCTAGCGAAACGATTCTGTTCAAACCACAAGCTTATTTACAGACATGCGAATGGACTTCGGAAGGTGCAGCGCGGAATCCCACCACTCCATACGACTGGCGGGTAAACACACAAAACAAAAGAGGCGGCCAATGCCTTAACGGCCTAGTACTTGTCTACATCCCAAGACGTACAAGCCCCAAACATTATACCTGCTTCTGTCACCACACCATCAGTGTTATCCAAAATCACATAACAGTAGTAATGATAATGAAGAAGCCAATCTTTGTGTACATACAGCTCTCCTGGAGTGGATAACATTCACCCTAAAGCACTGCAGGTACCAGCCCTGCATCTATCCCAACCATTTGCCGGATTCTTTCAGCGTTGTCTAGACAAAAACATAGTTCTGGCAAAGTGGAAACGAGGTATTATGACCCCTATTCACAAGCGAATAAGTCGGTCTGATCCTGCCAATTACCGTCCGGTAACGATTCTCGCTGTGCTTGCTCAAGTCATGGAAGCGATCATCGAGGACGTACTGATGGGCTACCTGGAAAGTAACATCAAAACGCCCGCAGCAGCATGGTTTGTAAAAATCATGTGCCACGAATCTGCTAATAGCACGTGACAATTGAACCGAAACAGTCGACGAGGGGACACAAAACGATGTTATTTACATGGACTTTTCGAAAGCCTTTGATCGCTTGGATCATCGAATCCTCCTAAACAAACTGCAGCTCTACGGTGTCGGTGATCCAGTATCAACATGTGTTGGCAACTTTCTCCGTGAACGGCAAGTGCAGGTTAGAGTCCGAAGTTCATCCTTCGATTAGATTCGAGTGCAGAGCGGCATACCACAGGGTTCAGTACTTGGATCTCGCTTGTTCTTAGTTTCCACTAACGATCTGGTGAGAGCTATCGCCTCAAAAGTTTAGTTTTCGCAGATGACGCTGAAATTTGGCAGGCGATCAACGGCCTGGCACTGGTCGGTGAGGAAGGCACTACCATTCAGCGTGAAGAAGTGCCACCTTGTCCACATCGGCTATCGACATCCCTATCTCCACAAACTTGGGGCGCAAGCAAGCCCTCAGAAACATGACCTCAGTATGCTGGTACAGAATGATCTCGGCTGTTCTAGTCAGAATCCGCTACAAAAAGAGATAACCAGCACGTTGGTTTCTTGCGCAGGGCATTCGGGAGTTTGGATTTCTACATCCTCTCTATGATGCTCAATGCCTACGTGAGCCTCCACGTGGAATACGCAATTCGACAAACCATAGACAGGTCCTCGATCATGGATGCTAAGCGCGCAGGACTTTCCATTATGAAGAACGAGAATACCTTTCGACAGGAAATATAACACCATAAGTAAACACACAATCCTGCACCTCAGGCTGACTATGCGGTGAAGCAACTTGACTGCTTCAAAAACACCCTGCCAGTCGTCGCTTCAGGACGCCATGAACAAAATGAAACGCCGTTGTCGTTTGAACCTGTCTTCGTGCTACAAGCAAACTAGACGGTACTTTAGATAGCCACCTACAGTTCGGAAGTTTAAGGTTGGGCGTACAGCAAACGTCGAAATCATTCTTTACGGCACCCTACTTAAAGAAGATACCAGTAAACGTTTCGTCCATTTGTGACATCCGTCACTGACAATTGGTGGGCTAGTTCGCTATGATATTGTTGTACGGCGGATTGTAAGTATTAGTTGCAAGTGAGAAGTTTAGAAACTATGCACTTTTTTGAAGCATGAAGTTTAAGCGTCAGGTATGCGCGCACTAGAGAATGGTTGGAAACAAGGCACGTGCTCATGATAGATCGACATCTATAGCGGATGACAGCATAGCAAAGTTTGGTCTAGGACGAAGAAGAATTCGGTGAGCGTCAGATGACACGATCTGACCCAAAATACAGATATTAGGCCCTTGGTTTGAGGGACGAGTTACATGTATCGATGGCAGAAGATGTGAGGTCAGCGCCAGTGCACTACTCAACAGACGGGCAATAAGAAAGAAGCAAAAACAAGAAACAGAGGGAGTATTATTGCGGAAGTCGAGACGGCAGATTATACTCTACGGCTGTCCATTCAAACAAAGGGATTTTGTTTCATATATCCCACCTCTAGTCTTAGATTCACACCTGACTTCCAAGGCAGTGAGGGGCATAGAGGTTCGCTTGAGGGACTCTAGTCTAGTTCTGCTTAAAAGCCTAACCTACAAGACAGTGGGGAGCAAGTCCAGCTAGGGAATGGGTTCGCAGAAACGATTGGGTCTGCTTGAGGCCTGTCGCACGCAGCCTTGGAAGAGTTAGTACAAAGCACTTGTGTTCTCTGATCGTGTTACATTATATACCTGCGACCCGGCAAGGTGCAGGTGGAAGTTGACGGGTTTGCACTCATTTGACCAGAGGGTGCCTGGTTTGTGGCTGACGGTAGCAAGCCATAGAGTATTAGGTGTTGCCCCCCTTCTATCGGGGACGATGCGTAGAACCCGTGCTCTACGCAATCGAGCTGTGAGCTTATAAACGGAAAACCTGTTATCGCCTATGATTAGGTTTTCAAAACAGAAGACAATCGACGACTTGGATAGTGCCACCCAGCGTAGCTCAATGGGGCACAGAGGTAAGCAAACCGTCGCGTAACGTTTAGGCTGCTTTGAAGGAAAACAATTTACGGTTCGACCACTGCCGGTGAGTTTGCGTTACAGGATGTGAGCACCTGATTTGCTAAGGGAAAAGGTGAAAGATCGAAGAGAAAGTTGAATGAAACACGGCCAACTGCGACGCAGCACCGGAATCAAAATGCGCGCAGAAAGGGGTGAAACACTAAGTTCATTCTAGTAGGGTAGGAAGTGTTTGTCAAATACATGAAGGGCAATTTAAATCCGCATGTGTGAGGACGGGAATTGCCAGAATAAATCAAACACTAGAAATGCAACTACATGTGACTGACAAAATGTACCAAGAGGACCAGAACAATAGGAGACACAATACAATCTTAATCAGATGCGGATCTGCTTGAAACCGGTGCAATGCACACTTGAGGATATAATGGAGCTGAAAAATACGCTAGGAATGACTAGCGTGCTTTTGTTTAGATTTGGAGACGGCTAGACGAGCCGCTTCGTCAAATGTAGCTGCCGGGAGCAATCCAACATTCGCGCTTTTCAATAATTCGGCGGCCTCCACGCTGTTGGTTCCATGAAGACGGACGACAACAGGGACGGACACCTTGTATTTCTTGAAGGCACCGACCAAACCCTTGGCAACTGTGTTGCAGTTGACGATTCCGCCAAAGATATTGACCAGAATGCACGTGATCCGTGGGTCGCCTGATGTGAAAATACAGCGCGCAGATGCTCGCTCAATTATCGTTCGACAACAAAATGGATAATAATGATGAGATGTGGCGAGACGTGTGGTTATCGATACCGTAAATATGGATTATACAGCAAGCACAGAGACAGCAAGGGGAGGAGCGGTCCGTCCCGAGAGGCATGTGAAAGGAAGCGGCATTTGTAGTGCCGTTGATTGTTCGATACCAAATATTAGGATCAAAATTTCAAGATAAGCTGAGGATTGAAAATTTTACTGCTACTCAGAATGTAACAACACCTTTGCGTCATATATCACATGTGTGCAACATTCTCCCAAACGATGTTCTAAAGTGTCCCATTGTGGTCACTTTCACCACATTTACCTCAGTGTCCCAAACGGTCATCCGTTTCTTCGAAGACTAATTTGCATTTTACCCTGAGCCGTTTATGTGGCCTTCACACACCAATATAAACCTAAGACGGCGAAAAGTTTACCACCATCCTGGGTGGCAAATTTGGTTGCTACATCACTAACGAAGTATAACAGTTTAGCACATACAAAAGTGAAGACAGCGAACGGAATGGTACAGAGGACAATGAAATGTCTATTCACTTTACGGACAGGACTGAGATCAAATCAGGTGGGCCAGAATGTCTATGGCTCTCTTAAATGAGTTAATGACCACACACTGGGATAAATAAGACTTGATGAATTGATACAGGAAGGACCATAAATGTCAAGTAAGCTAGAGTTAAGGTAGCGACAAAATGCATGAAAGGAGAATAGCTAAGGTTGCATAATATCAACAAAAGCAATGTCCGTTTCAGCAATATCTTGGCACCAAGCAGCTAACAGCGATAGGACACCTGTCAAATATCTGGTGGAGTTTTGGGGTCAAAAGGAAACGTAAGCTGGAGAAAGCCAATCAAAGTTATAGCTCATCCGAAATACGGTTATAAGAAGGCCATCAGTGAGGCAAAAGCTGATATATATAAATGGTTAATCAATCCTCATCCGCGACAACTAGCGCAATGAGTGGAACATTGTAAGGACAAACATACTGGCGTTTTATGAATCATTTAAACCAAGGGTGTCCAAAGTCCGGCCCGCGTTAACATCTCAACTAGCCCGCGACCTCAGCACGAAATAATAAACTCAGGATACGACTTATTCGTACATGTGTAATTATAGTCATTATCTTAATGTCAGATTGAATATGGGCAAACATATGTTTACGTCACAAAACGTGGCCTTCCTTGTACAAAATTTGGAAACCCATGTTCCAAGTTGATGATATGCATCCCACATTGGAGGAGATTCGACATGAGCTTACTGTGTTAAAACAAAGCTCTTGCATCCCAGAATCTTCCTCCGTTCTGGCTGAAAAATAGAGGGAACTCTGTTGACTGCACTTGCTGCTCTATTCGACACCAATCGCTACATAGAAGAGATGCTTTCAGACTGTCGTGTTCATCTTGAAAAAGGTTTCATTCTTTGCGTCTTCACCCTTCTCAGTGAGCCGAATCACTGAAAATCAGACTAGTATGCACTCAAGCTGCGGCTAAATCGACCACATATATACTATTCATTAGTAGCTATGGCAGAAAACGCGTACAGATGACCGACTATGGAGGCGTTTCTGAGCATGGAAGCTGCCATCGATTCTGCTGATCGCGCCAGATTGTGTCAATGTCTGTTATCTTGTGTACAGTAAGCTGGTGTACTCCCGCACCGCTGTCAATTCCACACCTTTTCTAATTATATAACTTTTACGTAAATGGTAGGAAATTTTGGTCAATGCAGGAACCATCCTCTTTTAATGACACCATATTGCCAGCTTCCCGTTTACATACGATCAGTACCATATACAAGTGTTCAGCTAGAGATATAGAATACACGAGCAATGCAGAGTCATCTGCATGTAAGTAGACATGTTACACTTTTTGAAGTCTATAATTGTCTTAAAACTCATTATGTTGCCAAACATCGAGCAATATAGATTAATGTGGTTATAGTGTTAATAACTGTTCACGTTTCAACTATGTCTCATGAATCGAATTTACGATCGTTTATTCGTCTGACTGAATGCCTGCATACCGACATGCGAGCAAGGGTGCAGCTGAGTGGACAGACTTCAGAGGACTTTGTCGTTATCTCTGGTGTAAAGCAAGAATGCGTCTTAGCCCCAACACTGTCTAATATCTATTTGACTGCTGTGGTGTGCACAACCAACTCGTGTGAATACGGTGTGCATGCAGAGCATCACATAGATGGGGGTTTGCTTAACATCTGCCGCTGTGAATCAAGAAGCCTAGTGCGTGAGACAACCATCTGTATGCTGCTGTTTGCTGACGACTGTGCGTTGTTTGCACATAGCGTGGAAGAACTGATGCATGACGACTGCATTAGCTACCTCGGCGACCAAGTTTGTACTCAGCATAAACACAAACAAGACTGTTTGCCTAGTTTAGCCGGCACCTGGAGTGGAGCCCATGTTCAGGCCAGAAATACGGATTTCAGATGAAGTACTACAGAATACGTCAGCATTCTGCTACCTCGGGAGCACATTGTCAACCGACCGGCGGATCACCGACGGACTACGTGGTTGTGTAGCGAAGGCGAGTACGACTTTTGAGAAACTGGAACATCGCGTGAGAAAGAATCATCGTATCACTGTTAGAACCGAGGTGATGGAGTACAAATCTATGGTTAGCTCGGTCTTTATCGACGGACCGGAAACGTGGATACCGTACAGAAACCATCACCGGTTTCTGGGACGATTCCATAAACAGTGCCTCCGCCGGATTTTGCACATCTACTGGTGGGACAATGTGCAGGACGATGATATGATCCGCCGGAGCGAAGTGTACACCTTGGAGTGCACGCTGTTAGTGCGACACCTCCAAAGGCTTGGACATGTGCACCGCATGGAGGCTACGGTAATCCCGAAGCAACTGAGCGCAGTCGGCCGGAATGCAGGCAAACCCAAGTTGCGTTACCAAGACAATATCAAGATTAGTTTGTCCCGAGTAAATATTGACCTAAGGAGTTCGGAGGAGATGGCAACGAATCGCCGCACCTGGAGTGACGGCATCAAGTCTGTGAGACAACTATCCGTATGTTGCTGTTCGTTGACGACTGTGAGTTGTTTGCACACAGCGCGGATGAGTTGCAGCACGTGACTAGTGCTCTGGCTTCGACAGCGGCCAAATTCGAGCTTACCATCAACACATGAAAAACTGTCTGCTTCTTTCAACCTTCATCGGAGGTGCAATCTTCAATATTGCCGCAAAGCAGCATTGGTGCTGAAGTATTGGAAACTATCTCCCACTTCTGCTACTTTAGGACTGTGGTTTCGACTGTCCAGCAAATATACAGTGAGCTTGATATCCGCGTATCGAAGGAAGCGGCAGTATTCGGGAAGCTTGAGTACCGAGTGTGGAACAACCATCAGCTTACCTTTGACAGGAAACTGACGGTGTACGAATCCATGATGCCGTTTGTTCTTTTATATGGCAGCGAAACGTGGACGATGTACCGGCGAGACGTCAGTTATCTCGAGCCGTTTCATCAATAGTGTCTGCGACGAATTCTGGGCATCGGTTGGTGACAGAGTTGCAGACACGGTGTTGGGCCGAAGTGGGTTGTATACTTTTGCTGAGACACTTGAGGTGGCTCAGTCATGCGTGCTGTAGGGACTTGACGCGGATACCCAAGTAGTTATTATATGATCAGTTGAGTGCGAGGAAGCGGCACGTGGGAAAACCGAAGCTTCGTTACCAGAACATGATCAAGGTGAACCTATCACATTCTAACGCTGATTTCAAGTGTTGGGAATCAAAGACAGTTGATCGGCGTGCATGACGCGATCTGATCACGAAGGTAGTTGTCGAGGTGCAAGAGAAAGCCCTCGCACATGCAGAGAAGCGGCAAGTGCGAAGCGACAGGCGCCGATGCGCTGTATTTCATCGACGTCGAGCGCATCGTGCTGTAGGACATGCAGTCGCGATTGCCTAAGTCAGACATGCCTGGTGAGCCAGGAGAGATGTCACTGGGGACCAACATCGAAAACAGGACGGGTGCTGCTGAGAAGGTAAGCAGGACCGGCGCAGCGTTAGTATGTTCGCTGCATTCGATTTGCCAACTGCGTGCTTGCGTGTTGAGTTTCTTTATTTCACGTAGTGTGTTTACCACTTTGTCTTAATGCTTATTTTTCGTACCTCATTTTAACGTTTACCTGAATAATATCCTTTAAACTTATACACGTCGCATAAGCTAACTGGGGTTAACTTCGTTAACATGTTCTCGGCTGTGGCATTTGAAAAAGATATATTTTATTTTAGCTTGAACTTAGCGCGGATTTGTTTATAGACACTTCATTACGTATGCTAATTTAGCGTGGAGTTGACTCGGCACATCCGTTAGTCTTATCCGATTTATTTTCTCTGATATCTTCATTCCAAGTGGTTGGCAGTTGCTTGACATCCCCGGTGTGGTTAAGCTTGATGTAAATGTTGACAAGGTGCCTACCTGTCTATTACCCATCAACTCGTCTATACTGACTCCAGGAGATAGTTGGTCGTTGCTGGCGCGGATGGGGTGCATGGTCCTCGTGAATGTATTAGGTTCGAAGAGTGGTTCTATGCACATGGTTTGTGTGTGTAGCGGACTACCATCCAGCCACCGCCTTGTGTGCGCTTGGTTCCCCAAATACAGCATGCTTGTGTTTGCCTGTGAAGGAGTGCGGGTCGGCTCCGTTGATGCAACCTGGCTTCCATCCACATGCCACCCGATCTTATTTCTTCTGGTTTACACCGGATAAGGGATGTGTGGTTGGAGCCGTGGGTGGTGCAACGCAAGCCCCCCATGGTCCCACTGTAGGCGAAGGCGTCATGTGGCTATCACAGATGATGCCACAGTGACAAACAAATCCGGAAACGGATGCCGCCGACATAGCTTGATTCATGACCGTTTAGTTTAGTAGCGTCATCGAACGCCGAAGTGTGAAATGGGA